GGGGGGGGTCAAAGGTCAGAGCAGCAGTTAGCCCCCCCGAATGCAGCTTCCAGAAAATGGGAAACATATCAATATCCACCACTTTATCTCTATTTATCTCAGCAACTGTTAAATTTTCAGATGATCACTTACTGTACATTTACATTTGAGTTTTCAATTCCACTCATTTTCACTAGCCACTGACAAAACCTTTTAACAAATCATGAACTATGTTGCACCAAGTTATCAATTATCTAATGTTAAAAATCACCTCGCATATTAAAAAGAAATCTGAAATCTCATGCCCCGCAAATCAGACACACGCAGGTTTGTTTTACAGTCGTAAAAAAGAACTCCTCCTCCCATTCGTTGTGAAAGTGATACGTTTTCTTTCGTTTTTTTTCCACTCAAAATCCGATATTCTAATATTTTGAGATAGGATATTTGAGTTTTCTTCAGCTGTAAGCCATAATCAGCGATATTAAAACAATAAAAGGCTTGCGATATTTCAGTTGATTTGTAATGAATCCAGAATGTATGACATTTCATGATTTTTAATTGCATTACGGAAAATAAAGAACTTTATCACAATATTCTAATTTTCTGAGACAGTCCTGAACATATTTTTAAGATATTGTCATTTTAAATCAAATCTATATGAATGCAAGTGTGATTAAAAAAGAATAGCAACGGAACAAAATTACATTTTAGACGCAGCTCACTATTGAGTTGTGCTATTTTTAGAACAGGCCCGCGGGCGACCTGGTCACTGTGTTGGTGACCCCTGCTCTAACGCCTCTCTAAACGCACCTGAACACACCTGAACGCACCTGAATGCACCTGAACGCACCTGAACGCACCTGAGCACACCTGAGCGCACACCTGAGCACACCTGAACTCACCTTAATGCGCACCTGAACTCACCTGAACTCACCTGAACTCACCTGAACACACCTGAATTCACCTTAGCACACCTGAGCACACCTGAACTCACCTTAATGCGCACCTGAACTCACCTGAACACACCTGAATGCACCTGAGCACACCTGAGCACACCTGAGCACACCTGAACTCACCTTAATGCGCACCTGAACTCACCTGAACTCACCTGAATTCACCTTAGCACACCTGAGCACACCTGAATGCACCTGAACTCACCTGAGCACACCTGAACGCACCTGAATGCACCTGAGCACACCTGAGCACACCTGAATTCACCTTAATGCGCACCTGAACTCACCTGAACTCACCTTAATGCGCACCTGAACTCACCTGAACTCACGTGAACTCACCTGAACACACCTGAAGCACCTGAACACACCTGAACACACCTGAACTCACCTGAAGCACCTGAGCACACCTGAACACACCTGAACGCACCTGAA